GTTTTAAGCTTTTCTGTATTTTATAGTTACAAAATCATTCTTAATGGCCATGTATTATTTTTATAAGAAAATAAACTTAATTCATTAGTTTCTTCTCACCTGATACTTCAGAAGTGACAGAGGTAACAGACATATGTTATTAATATTTTTACAAACTGTGGAGATCAGTTAAGATCAAGAAAGTAAATCTGAGAATGTCTTGACACAGTTATGGAGAAATACATGAGGTGTTACTAAGAACTTTATTAGAGTAACACCTTCCCACCATGTGCAGTGGCGTGATAGTCTTGTGCGTCGTTTGATTCTGTTTTTAATAATTTTAGCATCCAAAATTAAGAACCTGCCATGGGCCAGGCATTATACTTTTCATTCATTATCTCATTTAGCACAACAAACATAAAGGTAGATACTATTATTATTCTCATCTGCAGATGAAGAATGGAGGATAAGAATGGTTAAATAGCTGTCTAAGCATAACACAAGTAGGAAATAATAGATTTAAACTTCAAGGTTAAGGTCGGTTTAAAATTCCTATCTTTTAACTCTAAGCAATTCCATGCCTTGAGCATAATACTGATTACAGACAGAGGGGAAAAATAAGGTTTACATTAATATCAATTTATATAGGCAGGGTATAGTTGGCTAAGTTCACTTTGCCCATCTTTCAAAATTACCCAAACAAATCCACTTTCAAATTGTTACTGGCAAAATCACATCGTTGTATTTAATGATATTTGTTGACTCAGCAGACTGTCTCCTGTTTACTTTCATTCTGTTATCCAGCTTTCATCTCAGTCAGAGTCTGTTTAAACTAGGGCACTATTTCTCCCCTCAATCCAAGGACCACATGAATAACAAATACATGAAAATGAGCACAATGCTTTTCTGGACCCAAAGAGTAACTTCACTTGAATCCTAGCTGCTTGATGTGAAGGAAAATGATATTAACCCTTTTATGGGCTCTACCGCATGGCCATTGACAGACCAGCTTCTGATTGACTAGTTGTTGACGAACATGACCAAATGACTGAGTAAACACCAAGAAGTCAGGTGAATTTGCTCCTTTCTGTTTTAGTAAAATTAGAGCTCAGACTTGGGACATATTCGTGTTTTTTTTCTAATATCATGAATACAGTATTGTTTTTTCAGTATGAGAAAACACTTTGGTGTTGGAAAATTTTCAGATTCCCCAAAGAAAGAGGATATTCAGTATTGCTCATCATTTGGCTTATCTTAGAAACTGGCACATTTATTCTACTGGTGATACAATAAAATATAAGTTATTTTTTTATTATGATGCCTTTGGAACTTGTAAGCTTCATTGATAATCTCAGCCACTTATTAATATTGTATCATTCATTCTTTGTCACAGAACACACTTTGGGTCCTTGCCTTCAGGAATGGTACTGGGCATAGACCGGAAGGGGTTTAGGTTCATCCTGTTCAGAATTTCTGAAATTGCCTCTCCTGGGTGAATTCATTTGGGTTAAGAGATAGTCCCACAGAGACCCGTCTAAAATGTTCATGTTACCCAAGAGCGATCATTTCAGCAATCACTGACCATCTTTAGCATAGTACCTAATGTTATATGTTGAGCCCTAGTACGCACTTGTTCATTTTATGAGGAAATGGAGGCTCACAAATACTACGTGCCATCCCCAAAGTCACACAGAAAGACATTGGAGACTAGGAAAAGGAACTTGATCTTAACACTCTCTTCCAGGCCTTAAATGTCCTCACTTCACTGCCTTCATTATTCTGCCTAGACTGCACGGTATGTTGCTATATAATCTCAGCTCCCTTACTCTCTAGTCCTTCAGCTGCCCTGACCCTGGGAAGCACCAACCTTGAACTAGTCTCACCCGCTGTCCTCGCTTGCCTCTATGTTCATATAGTATTGTTAGATGAAATGAAACACTGGTGCAAATCAAGGCCACTATAAAGGTTAATTCCCAACCCCAGCTGGGCCCTCAGCATGGCCCATGTAGTTCCTCTGCATTACTCCGGTCTGCTCTTTGCTCACTTTCTTGAATGGGGCCACATCCTTCAGGTCCCATTCTCCCCCCTCACCTTGACCCTTTCTCCCATGACTTAAGTCCTAGTTCACTGAGAAGTTGCCTACTACTCTGGAAATATGGCAGAAGTCTTGACGTTTCTGCTCTTTCTCTCTGTTCTTGAAGGGCAGTATTATTTAAAGCAACTGTGTTTCCCCAAACACGCAATGAGTTGCTCTTTCAATGTACGTCAATATTCATCCAGGACTCGGTGTCCTGGATTTCAATGACAGCTGTGCCTGCTCTGACTTAGTCATATGTTGAATCTGTGAACCCTATCTTTGTATGCATACGATCTAGAAGAGGAAGTTACTCAAATATATCTGAAGATAAATCACTTAGGCTCAAACACTTCTAGGTATGGGAGCAAATGAGGTAATTTAAAAAGGTGGAGTTTGGACAGGAGTTCTTTGTGCGTATTAAAGAAACTCAGTACTGCTTACGTGAACTCCTGTACTTCTACAGAATTTAAATCCCACCACACACTTAATATTCCCTGATAAAGCACTCACTGTTATTGAAATATGTGGTTAAGGCGAGTATTCAATGAAACGTTGGTTACTTTCATACGTGATGGTTTGTAAATTTCTAGTTGTGGGTTATGATATTGAGCTCGTCACTGAAAGTATCACTAGTCGTAATTATTTAGAACAAGTGACTTTTCCTTTTGTCTTTGAACATTAGGAATCTCCAACTAAAATTAAAACAAGAAACTAATAATTCTACAAAGTCTATTATTAATTTTATTGAGGAAATGGTATGTGGAGAGTTAGAAGAGAATCCACTAAATACCTTGTGCTATTTAAAAATCTGTCATTTTGTAACACATTATTGTGCAGATTCCTTGATCCATTCATTTTTTAAAGGACTTAGGAAAAAGACATCTGGCTACAGAACACTTTTTATTCTCTGTCAAGAATAGAGAAAGTAACTCTGAGATAGTTTGGGTGGAACATCTTTATTATTTCCAGCAGTATGAAATAATAGTATATTACTGTTTTTTGTACCAATATATTCCATGAACTCTAACATTTCAAAGTTTAAGGACTGTTTTTATGGTAATGTTTATTCTCAGAACTGGTGTGTGTCGTTAATGAATGTTTGTTCTACTAGGCCTGGTGTTCTGGGCTAAGATTGGTGTTAAATCTGTAACTAATTTAAATTTTACCGTAAATACAGTAGACTAGGCAAAAATATTCTTTTAATTGTTTGGTTTTATAATCTAATCATAGCAATAAGTTAATTATAAACAAAGTCAGATTAACAATCTGATTTTTTTATTCAAAGTTCAAGATGTTTGGTTTTATCTTTAGATCACCATATTTTGAATTTTTCGAAATAGAGATGGTGTGCATTTGAATTAAGGGCTTTACCTGTAAAGTTTGGAAACTGTAAATCATTTCATTCTAGAATATAAATTAGGAGTTGTTTATACAGGGAGGTGGGTTTGTTTATTTTTTTTAATACACCAAATTCTGATTTGAACCAGCAAAATCAATTGTTTTGTTCCTTATAAGACTGAAGTTTAATAAATGTTAGCGTTTACCCATGTCACTTTTATGTAACTTCATGGTTTAGGAGAGCACAAATAAGACTTAACAAACAATCTGTAAATGTGAACATTCAGGTGCTACCTTACCGGACATCCGTTGTATGATCAGGAAGTATTAAAATAATCCAAAGCCAATGTTAAGTCTTTCTGGCTATTATTAGCTGTTTGAAAAGATCTAGATTCTTCCTTATCTGGAGATACCTTAACCTATTAGTTGGCAATTAAATGTTTAAATATATCTGAAGATACTATTCTACTTGTGTAAGATGGAAAAAGAAAGCAAAACGTAAGTCTCCAAAAATCAGATTGTTTGTGAAGAAAGCTATATCTTATTAGCATGTGAATCTTGCCCCTGTGGCTCCAGAAATTCTAACGACCCACAAAATCTAAAGCTGTGTTTCCCATCTACATACACATACTACCTTCACTGACCTACGCAATACAAATGTGTTCGGTTCTTTGGGAAAGTAACATAAAAGGAAAATAATTAATTTGAGCGTATCATAAAACGCAGAACTCTTACTCTAATACATTAAATCTGAAAACTCTTTAACTGACATCATTCAGTCTTTTTCATGTCTTTAAAAAATTTTTCAGAGAAACTCTCAGTCGCTTTGTAAATCACATACTTTCCTGTCTTTCTTCCTGATTTGAAATACACTAGTCTCCGTTTTATAATGCACTGGCCAGAAACCATATCACTGTGGACATTCTTGCTGCTGCAACAGGTGTTTGTCAGTTTCTTAAGTTGCTTTCCTTTCCCTGAGGTGGTGTTATTTCCGGTACATTCCAAAGGCTCTGAAAAAAAACTTTCACAGTCTCTTGTTGAGCCAACTCATGCCTCCAACCTCAAAGTTATTGAGAACTCATTGTCTTCAGGCTTTTGTTATATAGGCAAATTGTGTGAGTCTTTCTGTAATTCCAATTTTTAAGAACTAAAATATTTACTAAGAATCTTGCAAAACTGAAACTGAAAATGGAAATGACTTTTGTTCAGAAGCAAACAGTCTGGACATCTGGGAGTAGGGTTGATTATATTCCCAGCAAACCTAATGTGAAAAGGTTTTCATCATCCATTTAGACCACCCTGAAGTTTGACACACGCATAAACAAAACGGACCTTGATAACTTGCAGTCTACCTGCTGATGTTTTCCTACAAGTGAGGGCTCTGCATGCCCTGTGTGGCTACACTTTTTATTGCAGAACTTAAGCGAGGGAGGGATACTGGTAGAAAGGAGATCATCAGTCAACTGCTCCTTCTCCATACATCGTACCCCTACTTCACCAAGTAAAACCCAAGCCCGCCATAATATGAATCGGTCGTGATCAGAGCACACACATGCACTTTAGAACTGTGACAAGGCAACAAGAAGACAAGATTCCTCAAACAAACCTTTTGGAAGTTTCTCAGTCCCGCTGAAGGCAACCAAAGTAAGAATATGTACCAGTGGAATGTTGACGAGCTCTCTCATGATTAATCCAGGCTCAGGCAGGAGAAAGTTCCTTCTGGACAACGCAAGGAAAATGCCCCCAACAGTTTACATTTTAAAGCACAGTTTGTTACAAAAGGGTCGTCTGCTAATGACTGTTTGTGTCAGCAGCTCCACAGGCTCTAAGTATAATCAGGAATTCTCAGTCTTGGCTGTAGTGATGGACACGGCCAGCTGGTGAGTATCCACTTAGGCCAGTAATGCAAGTGTAGTGCTGGAGGAACAAGGGAAAGAAAATCCCTTTAGAATCCCTTTTAAGACAGTGGCAGAAGGACAATACCAGATGCCTTTGCAACCATCACTGTATTCCCTGAGGTATAGGTTTCCTGATCTGATTCGGTTCACCACCTCTCTCTGCTCACGCCAGCACCCTGGGTGTATGTAATCAGGCTCCTCCCCATCTCTCACTCCACCTCCTACCTCCAGCCCATTACCAGTTCCTACAGATGGTACCAACTCCATATTCCTGCATTTCTTCCCCTCCGTTGATTCCAGTTAGTATAATGCTGTCCCAGTCTCCTTTCCAGACATTCATCTTCTCTGAATGATGGCGATAGCATCCTGTCTGTTCTCCTCTACTGTGTCTTGTTGCCGTCTGATCTCTTCTCAGAGATCTCTTCTCCTGCTCAAGAGGCTTCTGTGCCTCTTGGCCGCATCAAAACCTATTCAGACCTCTCTAACATGACATGGGAGGCCTTGCTGGCCCCTGCCTGTCTTGTTAGCCTCATCTGTTACAATCCGTGCCTCTATCTTAATATTTAGCAACCTGTTTCTATATGCAGCTTTCTTCCCTCTGTGAATTACTCAGGCTGTTCTGCCGGCTTGGAATTCTTTCCCCTCTCTGCACTCATTAACATCCATCCCAACTTGATCATGATCTCCTCCTGGGAGCCATCCCAGACCCAGAGTTCTATATCTTCCCAAAGTTGCATTGGGTTTGCCTCCTCTGTGTGTGTGTGTGTGTGTGTGTGTGTGTGTGTGTGTATGTGTGTGTGTTGTGCACATGTCTATCACTGCACTTACCACATTGTTTTAAGATTTTTGCCTTATTGGTGCATCCTCATTCTTTGGCCTCATGAGTCCATGGATCTGGAAGCTGGGGGCTGTCAGCCAAATTAGTTACTTACAGCAGATCTTCCTAAAGGTGCACCTCCATGGCTTCCGAAATGTTCTACTACGCAAATTGCCTTTTCTCACTGAATGATATGTCTTGGAGACTTTACCATGCTACTACATACCCATCATTTCTACCGACAATATAATTGTCTAAATTATGAATGTGTGATGGTATATATTTGCTTCCCAGCAATGTGTTGAGAGGACCCATTTCCCCACACTCTTATCAACATTTACCTTTGAATTCTTACATTTAAATAGAGTAAAAATGATACTTCATTGTTTTAATTTATACTTATTTCATTGAATACTATTGGTAATGAGAATTTTTCATATTTTTATTATTCATTTTCCTCTTCTGTGGCTTTGGTCTATATTCCTCTTACATCATTTTTATTTTTCTTATTTATAGGAATTTTATTTTATTTTTTATTTATTTATTTTTTTTTTTTATATATGAAA